CGCCCCCTCCCCCCCCCCCCCCAAATGCTAGGAATTACATACACAAATTCTCCTTCTCTCCTGCTATTCATGTCAGTTGAATTCCAGATACACTCCCTGCCTGCAAACCATAATGCATGCACAATTTTTTGTGATTGCACCACACTTGAACACAGGGCATTGTGTTACCATGCGTTCTGTTGCAGCTGATGACATGAATTGTACATGCACTATTTTTTGCGTGCAGGGTGTGTGTCTGAAATTCAAATTACATGAAAAGGCACTGCCACACCCCCTCCCACCCCAGAACGCAAGGAGACTTTGTGTGTGTGATTCCTTGTATTCCGGGCAAGGGTGTAAACGAGCCTTTTTAGATTACAGCAGTCAGAGGAGCCACAGTGTATATAGAAGACAATTACAGCAATGTATGTCCAGGTATAAAAGTGTTTTAGGGCTTATTCACACAAATTACAGTGCGTTCTAGAACGGTAGCTGCTGGAACACACTATATTGCACACTTAACCCCCCCCTGTGTACTGGGGCGGGAGGGGGCGTGGTGGTGCATTGAAGACAATGGCACCGCAGCCACGCCCCCCCGTCAGCAGTGTAATCGCCCACACCAGTGTTCTATCAAAGATTGTGACTGGGTTGGATTGTGTTACCGTTCACGTGGTTACACATTTTAACGTAACCACGCCCAGTTTTTCGGCGTTGAAATATGTGACTAGCAAAAGGCGAAGAATTCCAACGCTTTGTCAGCTGGTCCAGGGCAGAACAGCTGATCGGTCCTGAAATGTCACTTCTATTGAACTTTGTGGAATGTGAGATCGCACTCACAAAGTCTGATAAAAGTGACATTTCAAGACCGATCAGCTCTTCCAGGGCAGATCAGTTCTCCTACACATACGTTCTGTGATGCCAATTTGCCCTGGAACAGCTGAGAAATCGTTGGAATTCTTCCCCTTTTACCGGTCGCATATTCCACCGCCGAAAAAGTGGGCGTAATTATGTTAAAATGTGTGACCACGTGATCGTTCACACATTCCACCGCCGAAAAACTGGGCAGGATTACGTTAAAATGTGTGGCCACGTGACCGGTCAAATATTCTAACGCAGTCACAAACTTTCATAGAACACCGGAACATGCATAGCCTACCATAGACCGTAGCCCTCCCCCCCCCTCAGCCCCCCGACGAGCAGCAGACAGACCCCTCCCACACACGCAGCAGATCTCCTTACATTTCTTCGCAGCACAGCCAGTCTGATCAGGCTGCTGCTCTGTGCATCCTCATGGCCAAGGCCCCAGTACGGCTGCATGTGAAGCTGTGTTCCGTTCACCGGCCGCTGACCCTTCACATCGCTGTGCCCGGGGCAGCCACTGTGTGTGCTCCTATCTCGGGACCCGGCCGGGAAGCTTACAATCTTGCTCCTGACCGGGCCCCCCTCTGTTGCGGGCCCCATAGCGCCCGCATGGGTTGCTATGGCGGTAGTTCCGCCACTGCTCTGCAGTATTATTGCAGCATCCAACACGTGCAATTGTGCTCGATGCCTGTGTCTCCTTGCTGCATGATTCTGTCCCACCCTCTGACTGCTATGAAGGGACACACACATGACATTGAATTGGATGGAGAGATGCAGGTATGCCAAACAAGTGATAGTGTTTAACACTGAAGTTTCCAGTGGTGGCAGGTAGCTCTGCAATAGAGCAAAGATTGGATTCATCAGGTGATATGGGTAAATAATATTAATGCACTTTTATAGGCTACTATTTATTTATTTATTTATTTACATATGTATTTATTCACTTTGAGATCATATGGCACAGTAGTTGCTAGCAGAGAATTATAAAAAATATTGTTTGAACCGGTTTTATGAATGTTGCTATAGATTCTTGTAATTACGGTCTAACAACTGTACACACAAAGAACTCAAAGTCAAACCTTTACAATGTGATCTTTCTGTTTTTCTTTTGTCTCATGTAGCTGGTGTAAAGCAAAACTGTCTGACCAGCCAGACTTCATTCCGTGGTTGCATAAGGAACCTGAAACTGATGAAGGGCACCCAGACTGAGGCCGACGACTTCAGCAAAGCATTCGAGTTACGTGGAGTCTTCCCTCATTCTTGTCCAGCAACAGAACTATAGACAAAAGGCATATTGTCAGCCTCTCACCCAGTTTCTAAACACAAAGGGTATATTAATCACACATGTGATGTTATCGCGCATGAGATAATTTAAGTGCATGCTGTGTCAGGCTTCCAGATTGATTACTTGCCCAGAAATGTATTTTAGGCAATGTGATGAAATAACCCTGTGACATAGCAAAGCATTAAGCGATATCATCTCATGAGGTTTGATGACTATTACTCCTTAAAGCTAAACTCCAGATAGAAATAAAAGACACAACTGATCGCAGCTCTATATTCATTTATCAATCATTAAAGGTATTTTTTTTTATAATGCAACCAATAAAAGGACCTGAATTTAAATTGATATCAGTCTCTTGCAATTACCTATACAGCAGCATTCAGACTGAAAGAGGGTTGGGAAGGACTGGTGTGTTTGCAAATGTGCCAACAAGGAACATGCTCATAAGATGGAGTGAGCAAAGAGGTGACCTTATCGGTCTGCCGCTGCCCTTTCACTTTTCAGGTAGCAGGCTGGGTGGGGGGAGGAGATGCTATTACAGTATTCCTTAACTGTACCAGAGAAAGTGGTGCCCTCTGCCTGGCTGTGCTGTGTGGCAGAGCTGTGTAAATCTCAGGGCTGAACAGGCAGACAGTCATCCAGTTCTCATATATGTATTTCATCTGTGTATTTGGCTGATGTCTGGAGTTCAGTTTTAAATGTGTTCTGAAAAGACATTCCAGGAATGTCTCCATCCTAACATATTTCCAGCTCAGGAACATTGTTATAAATACTTTTCCAGTTACTGTATACCTAAAAAAACACATATACACCACAAATACCTCTGGTAGTTTATTAATAGAATTAATACATATTTGATTACAGTGTCTACTGCTGGATGATGCTGAATACTTGACAGTATTTTGATTTCTTCAGCGTTAATCATGTTACAACTTCTAAATCTGTTTTTTTGTTATTCAATTAAATATACTCAGTTTGTTTTTTACATAGATGTGTTGCGTCATTTTTTAAGTCAACCAAGGTTATGATATATGGGGGTAGAAATATAAAGAGACCTACTAGAACTGATTGCATAAACACAACAGGTCCTCAGTGGTGTTTGCAGCATTGGTGGGTGTTTTATTCAATCAAAAATCATACAACCGGCATCAAATAAACATGTTGATGCATTTCACATCTTTAGTGCTTCTTCATAAGTCTGCAGTTTATTCCACTTCAGGGGCAGGGAGAGTGTTCTTAGCCTTGTGTAAGCCCAGCTTGCTTTTCATCTCTAAAAAGGATTGTTACCCTTATCTTTGAAATTACACCAAATAGATGTTTAGTAATGGTGATTCAAAAACAGATACTTCTAGATAATTGCCGGCTTTTTATTCTTTGCATACCTTATTTTTTATTTCCTCCCCATTTTTCTCACAGTGGCCATTTTTACTAAGGGCAGATTAATATATCTCTCTTTACCACCTGGAACTCTGGCACGTGTGACTAGGACATGTGACCATGCACATCATCTCAGGCGAAAAATGCTTTTCCCTGAAATCTCATGAGATTTCTCAGCAATGCTCTGCAATGTAACCTTCCCAGGATGCAACGCTTGGGCGCAGATTACTTCACTGATGCCCAAGGGGACGCCGAAAAGCAGTAATTGCAAGTAAAAGCAAAATACGTTTGTTTAATGAAAGTAAGATGGTTTTATATCAGCATGCAGAGCTGCAAGCTGATTTGATGTTAAGTAAAAGGGTGTAAAGGTCCATTTTAACAAGGCTGGGTTGACTGTTTTTGTGAAATTTGCTAAGCTTACCACTACATTTTTTTCTGTATGTTAACATGCCAGCCCCTGATTGTTTTTTTTTCAATTAATACCATAAAAGAAATCTGAATCCAATAATGACTGTGTGAACTTATATAAAACATCATTAAACTACAATATTCACAAACTTGAGTCTTCAGACTCGGGTGTGGGAAATTTGACTAAATTCTTAGATTGGTGTTATTTGTTAGTACAATTACAATCTAAATGTTTAGTCTTCCAGAACCACAGAGAAAACCAGAAATATTTAGTTCTCTGTTTGGCTGTTTAGCATAAAAGATCATAACATTATAGGATCAACACAGACGCCAGAAGGGGCATCTCAGTGTCTGCCAAGCACACTCCATCTCAAGCAGAGACTCTGCCAAACGCTGGCTGAAACAGCACCAATCTTCTCGCATCTTAGTGAACGCAGTCTAAAGTACAACATGCATAGTATGTACTTTACTACGTGCATTATGTGACAGTTTTTACCATCAAATGACTTTGTTTCACACCTTTAATTGTAGTGTGTTTTACTGTGTGTTGCAATGTTCATCTTTTACCCTATTGTAATATGTGTTTATTTTCTGCATTTTTGTGTTAAATGCATAGTCCACCCTTTGCAAAAATGTAGTAAATGCACCCACATTGATAAAAAAGTGCATTTATTAAATGTTTGCTTTGAAACCTGCAAAGCACTCATGATCAGTGCAATTCACAGGTTCTTGCATTGTTTACCCCCCAGCCCCAGGTCCGTACAGAGATACAGACCTTCGGTTATAGGGCTGGAGGCGATAATCAATGGACTACAAGTGCAGTGACATTACCACATTTGTGCTCCATTGAGATCTGTGAATACCTCTGCCGCAGCGGCAGTTGGGACTTTCCATTCACAGTTCCCAGTGAATGAATCTGTGAATGGATGATGCAGTTGCACAGGCAGAGCTATACACGGCTGCACTGAATTTAAACCAGAACAGAAGGCTGCAGGGAGAAGCACCCTGCAAGCCAGGTAAGTGGTGTTATACGAGAACTGCAGTATGTCTTTAAAGAGAGTGTCATAAATGCAGAGATGTCAACTTAGGGAAAAGTTTACTGGGTGGCATAGTAACAATATGCATAGCACCAAATGACAACAGAGCTGCAAATCATAGGTGACTCCCAAAATCTGGAGGTGACTTGACATGCCAGTGGAGTCAGCGAGTGACAGGAGCCTTGGTTTCAACATATACTGCCTTCGCTGAATGGAACGCAATAGAAAAGGATGAACTTTGAATACAATGCATGAAATCTGATCCCAGATAAGCTCACTTCTGCTCTATATATGAGAGACACTTCTCCGCATAGACTGTATGAGAGAGACTTCTCCGCACACACTGCGATGGTTACTGTTTCCTCCTTGTGATTGTGTTACAAAGAATGTATCAATGCGAGTGGAAGGGATACCACAATGGGAACCTATGGAGGAGCAGGAATGACTTGCACTATTGTTAAATTGTAGGTGAACTCAAAACCTGTGATTATAGAAGGAATAGGAAAGGCTTAGGAACTTGGGGTTGATTTACTAAAAGCAGATAGACTGTTCACCTTGCAAGGGAATTTTTCAATATGTAGGGGAAGTTTAGTGAATATTGGGAAACTTCACTTTACAAAGAATGCCCAATCAGGTATAAGGACACTAAAAAACCCTGAGCTTTTCTTGCACATGATTGGATAATGGAAGTCAGCAGAGCTTTACTTCATTCACTAAGCTAAGGGGAAAATCCCCCTGCAAAGTACAAATGCCCTTGCAAAGTGAACAGCATATTTGTCTTTAGTAAATGAACCCCTCTGTTTTTGCAGAGGGATTGCTGAGTGTGGAGGTTCTCTTTACATGTGGAACAGCTTCTAGAACATTATAAACTCTGGATTTCTGCCTTGATTCTCCTTACATTTTCTTACCAAGCGCCTCTCTTGGTTCCCTCGGCAACTGCTTATGCTTTTTATGCTGGACTGATTATAGCAATACACTAACTGGAGCATGTGAACTGAACTTTGCATTCCATTCCTATGTGCCTTTGGTAAATGAACCCCTCTGCCTCTTCCTGGGGTAATTCATCCCTATTCATACTAGTGATTATTGTCTACGGTACAAAAAGTGATGGGAAATCCATAATTGACACCGTAACAGCAGATAAGGTAAAATCTTCCAATGGGGATGTCTGTTCCAGTGACACCTAACAGGGTATTTTTCCTGTCTCTTGTCAGCAGCTGCAGAGTGGGACCCTTGTTTTCTGTATAGAAGCAGTGGTCTCACTGCAGAGGTCCAACACCACTCCTTTAGACCTTTAGTTCTGCAATCATCACAGCTCATGCTCCTCACTGATTGGACAGCTCTGTATCTGACACAGCAGCAGGAGTGGCAGACCTTTGGAAAGATATCACTGCTTCCCACATGGAACAATGATCCCACTCTACAGCATGATTGCAGCAGACATGACTTTCTTCTCAGGTTCCAGCTGATGTTAAGAAAACAAGAAGCAAAACTGCACACACCTTTTGTTTTGATGCTCATGAAATGTACTGTATGCAGAGTGTATTTGCATTGCACTTTATTGCAAAATAGTTCTGCCTAAACCATGCCTTTCCCTATCCAAAACTTATAAATATTGTTTGGCTTCCCACACATTTTAACCCTTGCTGAGGTTTCTTATATTTTGCCCACTCTAAATTTGACATTCAAACATTTCCACATAATGCCACTTTGAAGAAGTCCTTGTTTATCTGACCAAAGCAGCTATCTTTTTCTAGCAATTCCACATTCATGTGATCTCCTAATAACAGTCATTACGTGGAGACCAGCAGCCTTGGCAGGACATTTTCTGTTCTTTCTAAAAGTTAAAAACAAATCATAGTACTTATGTTAAAGAGAATCTACAATGGTTTGGGTCAACTTTATTTTTTTTCCTCTTTAAAAGAAAAAGACATCTGATTTTTTTATGTTTTTTTGCTTTCTACAATTTATAGGAATTCTTTGTTTTTGCAGAATGCTTTGTAAAGAGAGAACAGGAGAAATGCTTGCCTGAGCAGCTCTAAAAAACATGCTGTGCTGATACTACATATAAAACTGCACAAAGGATTTAAAGTGTCAGTAGACCCTTTGTAAACCTTTTTTTGCATGGCTCATATGCTAATATTAACATTTAACTGTTTAAGGATCACATAAAATATTATTACTAAATACCTTTTTTTAACTTTGTATACCACAGTCACATGACAATATTGAGCTTGCTAAGGGGTCTATTCACTAAGCTGCCGACGGCAGCCGAGTGAATAACCAAAGTGAAGTGAGCTGAACGCTGTTCGGCTATTCACTTCAGGCTTGTACGGCTGATGCTCAGCATGTTCGGCCGACCCGAAGTGCAGAAGGAGTTCGACTTGGCATATTCTGCTCGGTACTTCTGTGGTGCCGAGCAGAATA